TCTTAAAAGAATTATTTTATTTATTGGAAAGACAGAGGTACAGAGAGAAGTAGAGCCAGAGAGAGAGAGAAAGAGAGAGAGAGAGAGAGGTCTTCCATTCTGCTGGCTCACTCCTAAATGGCTGCAAAAGCCAGGAGCCAGGAGCTTCTTCCAGGTCTCCCTCTTGGGTGCAGGGGCCCAAGCACTTGGGCCATCTTCCACTACTTTCCCAGGCCACAGCAGAGAGCTGGATTGGAAGTAGATCAGCTGGGACTGAAACCAGCACCTATATGGGATGCCCGCACTATAGGCTGGGGCTTTAACCGGCAATGCACCCTTGTTTTCACCACACTGTTTGCTTTCTCTGGTTTCCTTTTCTTTGCTTGCTTGCTTGCCTGCTTGCTTGCTTGGGTTGGTGTGGTTGCCGAGGCTTGGTCTCTCTCTCCTACTGAAGGGCTTCACTGATTCGTAGCACGTCCCTATTGAACAGACAGGACCTGGAAAGCTAACAGAGAGTGAGCTGCTTGGATTTCAGCTTCTTCACCCCTTTCTGTGCCCCAGACACTCACCTCCCCGGTCCCATAACCTGGCTCCCCAACACTCTGGATTCTGAGGGAACCCACCCACAGCAGGCCCTGGGAGGTGGTCAGATGTGAGAGGAGAGGATGAGGAAAGTGTTCCCAGCCCCCTCTCCCTACTGAGCAGTGGGTCCTTTTATCTACCAAGAGTGACATCTCCTGTGTATCCCCCACCCTCCGCCCCGTGGTGGTCCCTCTCTGTGTTTTGTCTTGAGACCACCCTTCCCCTCCAGGCCCAGAGGTAGCAGGAGCTACTAGCCCCAGGGGCTTCAGGGAAGTGGGATTCTCTGAACCACACCCTGTCCTCCTTGCACAGCTGGTGAGAACACGCCCTTCCCACTCCCCTTCTTAGTGTCTCATCTGCATTTCTTGCTCAGGTCCCTGATCAGAGCAAGTTCATGTCCTTGGGCAAGGCCCTCAACCTTCAGGGCAGCATAACTGGACTCCTTGTTGGAAGTTTCCAAATGGGCTTAGCTTCCCCTGCCTAGAACAGGGGGCCAGCAGGGCTGGGGTCTTCTGAGGCCTCTCTCCTTGGCTGGCAGGTGGCGTCTCCTCCCCATGCCTTCACATGACAGTCTCTCTCTCTGTGTGCACAAGTCTGTGTCCCGGTGTCATCTGATACAGCCATCAGCGAATGGAAGGGCCCACCCCCAACATCCTCGCTATAATTAATCACCTCGTCCACCTCCTCCTCTCCAAATGTGGTCGCATTCTGAGGTATGGGGACGTATGCAATCAGCCCTTCGCACTCCACACCTGCGGGATACTGAGGTCTGACCCCTCTAAGGAATCCCCCAGCTTGTTTTTTGGGGGCACACACCAGGCTACTGTCCTGTGAGATCAGCTCTCAGCAAAAAGGCCTGGATGATGGCCCCACTCTGCACGAGTTAGGCCCTCGGTGAAATCCTTTGCCTTCAGAGCTGGTGCTGACCTTTGCCCTCCTCTGTGTGTTCCGAACCCTAGCCCAGCCTGGCTCAGTGTCCCTGGAGAGTAACTGATGTCCTGCCATCACAGGAAGGGATGGCTCCCTCTGAGACACCTGGGATGAGGGAGGCACCTGCTGCTCCCCTTTCTTGGCCCCATTCCTCAGTCCTGCCTCTTGGTGTGCCAAGATCTGTGTCACATCAGCTGTTCCGGGTTTCTGCACGATGCATTGGCTTCTTACTCCTACCCTCTCCTGGGAACACCTGCTTTACACATTTTTCCCACTTTCCTATTGTGTTACCACCAGCTCCCCCGTGCACTATCATGTGGAAAGAATATAGACCCCCCCCCACACACACACGCAGTGAATGGTAGCTGTTTCTCCTTCATTTTCTTTGTCTTTTATAGGTTGCTTACGTGTTGTTGTTGTTGTTGTTTTCTCATTGCCATCATGATGGTGATTTGGGAAGGGAATGGAGACAAATCCCTGTGCCAATCCACTGGGTGTCACCACCAGGTTCATGGTGAGCTTCAAGGTTCTCTCTGTACCACCCCACAAGCCCTTCCAGCAGGTGGGAAATGCACTCATGGCTTCTCAATACCTAAGCTTATACATAAACCACAATGAAGGTGCTGAATTTCATATTCTGTCAGTGTAGAGTGTATGTCCACGAGAGAGGTGTAGACAACGTTCACAGAAATGCATATCATGGGGCTGGCGCTGTGGCATAGTGGGTAAAGCTGCCATCTGCAGTGCCGGCATCCCATATGGTCGCCAGTTCGAGTCCCGGCTGCTCCACTTCTGATGCAGCTCTCTGCTGTGGCCTAGGATAGCAGTAGAAGATGGCCCAAGTTCTTGGGCCCTGGCACCTGTGTGGGAGACCCACAGGAAGAAGTTCCTGGCTCCTGGCTTCAGATCGGCACAGCCCCGGCCAGTGCAGACAGTTGGGGAGTGAACCAGCAGATGGAAAACCTCTCTCTCTCTCTCTGCCTCTCCTTCTCTCTGTGTAACTCTGACGTTCAAATAAATAAATCTTAAAAAAAAAAAAAAAGGAATGACGTGAACTAAGCCCTGCTGCACGCAGGTTTGATTCACTTCCCCTTGTGCCCTTTCTCTGTTCTGAGACCCCGTCCGCCACACTCACAGACATGTGGTCGTCGTGTCTCTGTCGCTTCCTCTGCTCACTGACTGTTTCCCAAACTCTTCTAATGGCCTTGATGGTGCTCGGGCACTCTGGAGAATGTTCCTCTGTGTGTCTTCCTCCTGCTTACACTGCGGTTTGGGAGAAAGGACCCGGAGCTCCAGCAGCTGCTGTCGGTCACACACTCCTGCAGGCAGCACCTGTCACTGGCACTCTGAAGCTACATTCCTCGCAAGCGAACTCACACTCCCTGGGGAATTAGGCTATGCCTCTCTGCACATGTGCCCGTTTCTTTTCATTTTCATAAAATTACAAATGCCTCGGATGGTCCAAGTTTGCTGAAGATTGTACTGTGTGTGTGTGTATGTGGAAACCCATCCCTGATCAGAGACAAAGGCCAAATTGTCCTCCGCTCCCCCCCAACATCCTTCCTCCTAAGATAAAACAATTGTCCTTTCTCAGAAATGAAGCTTATGACCTCATGGTAATTTTTTTTTTTCCTATACTTGAGCAGCCATATGTGAGAAGGTCTTTCAAGGATCAAAAGGGCCAGAAGTGAATTTCAGGGAGTTATTCGTGCTGCAGGTATGTGAGTTGGAGCAAAGCTGTCCATGCTGGCGTGAGAAGCCTAAGAAACCTGGAGCAATGAGCTCGGCCCTGCCCTCACCTCTCTCTCTCCCTGGTGCCCCAGGGCATTGCTGTTTCCAGTCGTGTGGGATGTGTACAGAGTTTCTTGACCCTTGCTTGACTCTCCAGACTTCTCAGTTGGCAATGGAGTAAGCATCTAGAAAGTTCTGCACACTCCTTGGAGAAAACTAGGCCCCATGCCGAGTGTATGCAGTTCACATGGTACTCACGTCGGCCATCCTCAGCTTGATGGGAGAAAGGCGGGGTTGCTGAGATCCAAGCAGAGGAAGGAATTTTTCTCAGGCAGTGTCGGTTAGAGAGGGGTGGGCATTGTGGCTCAGTGGGTTCAGCTGCCCCTTGGGACACCTACGTCCCATCTGTCTGTGTCATTCTTTCTGTCACTCTGCCTTTCAAATAGATGAAAAGAGATAAATAATCATTATTTAAGATTTATTTTATTTATTTGAAAGACAGAGTTACAGAGAGAAATGTAGGGACAGAGAGAGAGAGAGAGGGAAAGGTCTTCCATCCACTGGTTCACTCCCCAAATGGCTGCAACGGCCAAAGCTGCACCCATCCAAAGCCAGGAGCCAGGAGCTTCTTCCAGGTCTCCCACGGGAGTGCAGGATCCCAAGGACTTGGACCATCTTCCACTGCTTTCCCAGGCCATAGCAGAGAGCTGGATAGGAAGTGGAGCAGCTGGAACTTGAACCGGTGCCCATATGGGATGCTGGCACTGCAGATGGCAGCTTTACCCAGTATGCCACAGTGCTGGCCCCACTCAGTCTCTTAACTACTAGTTGATAGACTTGCTCCATGCCCGCGGGTCCTTTCTTGCTATTTTCTTCATCTTATGGAAGTGAGCTGCTGCAGGCAAGTCTTTCAGGACTGGGTCCTAGGCTTCTCAGCATGGTTTGAGGCTGGACCACCCACCACTGTTTACACTGAAAAGGGGGGCGGGGGAGGGGGGGAAAAGAAGGGGGACAGGGTGGGAGAGAGAGAGAGAGAGATCGCGCGGGGAAGGGGGAGGAAGTAGGGTCTTTCTCACATTGATTCTTGCAGCTCTATACCCAGTGACGATTTTTTTAAAGTATCCTCGTTGGTGTGGGCCCATTTGGGATTAAGAGATCAGGAACTACAAGCACATCTCCTGCTCTATGGTGATGGATCCAAAGAAGCTGGAATCCGGTTCATTCACTCTCTCATTGGGCAGACAAGACAAGCCCGCCTGCTGGTCCTAGGCAGACTGAGGAGAGGTCCCAAGCTGGGGCAGTGCCTGCATGTGAATGGTTAACCGTGCAGGCTCCCCGCAGTTTCCAGGAACACACCCAGGAAAAGGTGAGGCCTCCCGCTGCAGGACAGTCAGAGCCCGGTTACATAAAGACCCGAGGTTATTTTTATAAAGAACGACAAGAGGCGATCCTTTCCAAACAAATCCCAGATGGGCCGAGACCCCTTTCTGTAAAACAAACACGCCCAGAACTTAGGAAGTAGGAGGGGAAGTGTTTACCGGGAGTTCTGAGGCTGCCGGGCAGGAGCCAGGACCTCTTTGCCCTGGGCTGTGGGATGGCAGCCTGTGAGCCAGGCCTCCTTTGTCAAAATCAGCAGCCACCAGCGGGTGGGACTTAACTGGGAGGCTGGAATCCAGACACACAATGGGGCTGTTTGCTGACGCTCTGACCGGCAAGGGAACGGCTTGCGATTTTACTAAAGCAATTATTTGAAAAAGTATATACTGAGCGACTGCCACGTAAATCGCTCTTTATTTGAGGGTTTCTGGCGTTTCTAATGAACAAGTCGACAATGGACGGACAACGCAGCGGGAAAGGCATGCATGCTCCCGTGTGCAGGCATGGATGGATACTGCGTGTGCATGTATGATTACATACACTGTGAGTGTATGTATGATATTGGTGCCTGTTAAAGTCGCCAGGTTTGACAATAAACTTCTAATACACAGCAGATACTTTTAGCGTATGTCTCAAGTATTGCACAGGAAATTCTTCCCCTAAGAGAAGTGCTCATTCTTTATCTAAGATTCAGTTTTGCTGACCATCCTGCCCCCTGTGTTTTATCTGGCGATCCTAGCACATGGCGCCCTGTGCTGAGTCAGCATGGGTGTGAGCGTTGGAAGTGTGCGTGTGCGTTTGCCGTGAACCTGCTGAGGCCGGGATGGGGGCGTGCCTGTGTGACAGGGGTGTGCCCAGCTGGTCTGAAATCATCACTTCATTCACCCTCCAAAGGAAACAAACTGGCCACTAATCAGAAACTGCAAGTCGTGACCATTTCCCAAGATTTCAAATGGATTAAAAAAGATAAAAGCTCCAAGAACTTTTCAACCTTGGAAAACATCCAGTCTAGTGCATTTCCAACTTAGCGAATAACTCTAAAGGGAGTGGACCCAGGCCCAGGTTCCCAAAACATTGCTTCTTCTCTTAGTATGCACAGGAATAACTGTTTGTAGAGTATCCCTCTCACTCTGTTCACACCTGAAATGCAGAAACCACATTATGTAAGAACCAATACTTACAAAATAGAGAACAACTGTATTTTTAAAAGATGTATTTATTTATTTGAAAGGCAGAGATAGATAGATAGATAGATAGATAGATAGATAGAGGGAGAGAGAGAGAGAGAGAGAGAGAGAGAGATCTTCCATTCACCGGTTCACTCCCCCAAATGGTTGCAACAGCCAGGGCTGAGCCAGACCAAAGCCAGGAGCCAGGAGCTTCTTCTAGAGCTCCCAAGTGGCTTCAGGGACCCAAGCACTTGGGCCATCTTGTACTGCTTTCCCAGATGCATTAGCAGGGAGGTGGATTGGAAGTGGAGCAGCCAGGATTTGAACCAGTGCCCACCTGGGATATCAGCGCCACAGGTGGAGGCTTAAGCTTCTATGCCACAGTGCCAGCCACTAGAGAACAAAAATAATGGCTAAATGTCATAATAGAGGCTGCCTTGGTTCATTAAGCTTCATTTACACATGAACTAATACACTCCAAGATCTAGGGAGCTTTGTACCAATCACACACACACGGAAGCAGATATAAGCTTAAGGCGTGTTTGTCTTTGTACATCCCGTGGATGGAAAGACCTACAGGAAGGACAAAAGCAAGCATGCATCACTACCAAATTATAAAATTATGAATGCAAGGAAATGCAGTGAAAATGTGGTGGATTTTTTTATATGCTTAAAGATTTGATGGTGGGGTGCTGAGGATTTTCTACACTTTTCACAATAAATATGTCTTAATTTTTGAAACTGTGAGTAAGGTGCATTCTGGAAGCCCAACAGGCACACACCAAAGAATGCTTTTGATGGTTCTGGTGCGTGTAGGTTGCCCTGCTTCTGTGGGACCACACCTGACTGTGACTCTCCAGAACTCCAGGAGTCCTGTGATGAGAGACGCCAAGTCGGCTGCACCTGTGACCCAGAAAAGAGCCCCCAGCAGATTCCTGCTGCAGGGTCTCAGCTGCCTCGGGGTACACTGACCAGCAAGGCAACACCGTGTAGCACAGGAGGCACAGCCGTTGCTTAGACAGAGGACTTCACTGTGGGGCAAAACATCCTGCCTTTTTGCCATGGGTGAGGAAGTGGAGACACATGGGCTGTGTGGAGACACATGCCACACACAAGTGGCACATGGGCTGGCCTTGGGAATGGAGCTTCAGGCCAACACACAATTCACGTCCATGGGAGAAGAACCAAGAGGAAGCTTGCACAGCACCCCGAGTGCCTGAGTGAAGGGCTGGCCTCCCGTTCATTTACTCCATCACCTGTCATCTCCTTGTTCTTGGGTACCCAAGGTTCTCTTTGGTCCCTCTCAACATAATTGAACCTGATCGGCTTCTGCCTCTCACATTTCTTCTTTGTCCCCGTGCCCAAAGCATGAGAAGTACCTTTGAAAATCTGCGTTTTTGCTCCATGCAATCCTTGAGCCTGGACTAGCCAAGGGGTGGAGCAGAGGCCTGGGGAAGGTTGAGACAGAACTCAAATGACCACTGACCCTTCTCAATGGATGAGCTCCAAAGTGAATGCTCTCTTAAAAATCAGAGAGGGAATATTGCATTCTACCAGCCTGTGCTGGAGAGCATGGCCCTGTGCGACACAGATCTGGGTACATTCACTGCAGATGCTGCAGAAGCCACTTCCTGCCTCACCCCTGCATCCACATCACCCTCTTCGGTTGGAACACAGCACAGGGAGTGGCACCTGGTTGGCCACAGGCCATGGGGACAACCACTCCACCCCATCCAGTCACCATGAGGTCCAGGTTCGAGACTCAAGGGTAGGGCCCTAGGCAAAAGCACTCTCAGCTTTGGGTGTGAGGTGTCTAAGTGACACTCAGGGAACTGGCCGCGTGGTGGGAGGAAGCTGGCAGACCCAGAAACGACACTGGCAGGGCAGATGCTGTCATTGACCCCGTTTTTAAATGGAAACCACGTGCAAGGCCTTTGGGGGCCTGGATTTTATAGGTGTGTGGAGCAATCAATACATTTCACATTCAAACCGGTTTGCATGGGATTTTTGGTCATTTACAAGGAAAACCTCTTGGCTGGCTCCTCTAGGGATGCTACAAAGGGTCTTCAAAAAAAAGTCATGAAAATTAGAATTATGAAAAATTTTTTTCACACCAAGATAAACTTATCTTTTAATTCCATTGGCTATGAGCTGTTAGCAGTAGGTTTGCATTTTACAGGCAACAATAAAGGTAATGAATGTGTTAGAAAAATAAGAAGAAAGAATTGGGGCTTTCCTGGAAAACCTGGGATCGGTAATTGTCACAGATGTAGTAAAACTGCAGTCTTTTTCCCCAAATGATGTACCTGAGATGCTAAGTGGAAATCACAGCTTCCAACATGGGGTGACGTGAGATGCTTTGTTTTTAAATATATACTCTTTTGAAACTTCTTTGTAAGGCAGAGTTACAGAGGGGGAGAGACAGAGATAAAGGGAAACTTTCCATCTGCTGGTTCACTCCTCAAATGGCCGCAACAGCCAGGGCTGGGCCAGGTAGAAGCCAGGAGCCCATGCCGGCGCCGCGGCTCACTAGGCTAATCCTCCACCTAGCGGCGCTGGCACACCGGGTTCTAGTCCCAGTCGGGGCGCCAGATTCTGTCCCGGTTGCCCCTCTTCCAGGCCAGCTCTCTGCTGTGGCCAGGGAGTGCAGTGGAGGATGGCCCAAGTGCTTGGGCCCTGCACCCCATGGGAGACCAGGAGAAGCACCTGGCTCCTGCCTTCAGATCAGCCACAGCGGCCATTGGAGGGTGAACCAACGGCAAAAGGAAGACCTTTCTCTCTCTGTCTCTCTCTCTCTTTTACTGGTCACCTCTGCCTGTCAAAAAAAAAAAAAAAAAATGTAAAGGCAAGGAACCCAGCAAGAGCGAAGCTCTGAGCTTCTCCCGGATCTCCCACGTGGGTGCAGGGACTCAAGCACTTGGGCCATCTTCCACTGCTTTCCCAGGCCATAGCAGGGAGCTGGATCGGAAGAGGAGCAGCCAGGACTTGAACCGGGGCCCATATGGCACTGCAAGCAGAGGCTTAGCCTACCACACCACATAGCCGGCCCTGACCTTAGCTCTTTAAAGAGCACTAAGAGAGTATAAAATAAACTGTAATGAAACTGGGCCTTACTTGAATAGCCAATTAACCAAAAAATGAATGTGATGCATTTTAGGAAAACCTAATATACAAACACCTTTCAACCGAGAAGCTTATAGCTTAGGGGTAATGTTAAACACCACAGCAGATCTTCTTAAAATGCTTCAGTTCAGGGCCTCTTTAAACAATGCGCTATGAAAATGAACAGAAAAACATGAAGCACTGGTTCCATGAAATCTCTGGTTTCCAGTTTCCATTGGCATCAGCTAGAATGATGTCAGGACAGACACAGAGAGCTTCTCTCCCAGGCGCCACCAACAAGATGACCTCTTACATCCAGTGAGGGACAGGGCAGGGCGGGCATTTGGTGCAGGGGTTAGGGAGTCTCTTGGGAAGCCCGAATCCCACATCAGAGTGCCTGGGTTTGCGTCCCTGCTCTGCTTCCAACGCCAGCTCCCCGATGATGCCCACCCTGATGGTCAACAGGTGATGGCTTGAAACTTGGCTCCTGCCACCCACACTCAGGTTGAGTTCTGGGTTTCTGGCTTCAGCTTGACTCAGTCCAGCCTATTGTGAGCATTTGGGGAGTGAATTAGCAGACAGGAGATCTCTCTCTCTCTCTCTCTCTCTCTCTCTCTCTCTGTGTGTGTGTGTGTGTGTGTGTGTGTGTGTGTACACCGGTTGATTCAACAGCCAGCAACGTCCCCAAGGCCCCAAGGTCCCAGGTCTCTCTGCTGCTTTACCATCTGCTCAGCCTGGGTTTGCCCCACCCAGAAGTCAAATCCAGACATTTCACATCCAGCGTCCAGGGACAAAATCAGACTGCCTGTTCCAGAAGCCGCAACACTCAGCTGATGGCCTTTTGGTTAGAACCCGGTCAGTGCCCACACTGAAACCATTGCCACGACTCCCTCTGCCCTCCACAGCCTGGAGGCGCCACCTCCCCCACTCCCTCCCCGGAGTGGGGCCGTCCTTGCTTCTGGCTCACTCAGGAAGTTACTCTGGTTACCTTGTGCTGGCTTAGCAGTTTCTGGAAACACATGAGTTCAATTCTGGCATGAATTGATTGGCAAGAGTAAAAATGCTTAGTTTAGATAACAGCACAGGGTCAGATGGATTCAGGGACTAGCACTGAGGGCCATTGGGTCCAGGTTTCACTTCATGTCTAATCTTCTATCTCAAAATAGCGTAACTTAGTTCATAGGCATGCTATCTACACAACTGTGGAAAATCGATCTATGGCAGAAAATAAGGCATATTGTTGCTTACCGTGCGATATATTCTGTTAGAGGAAAATACAAATGCTAGGGCTGTGTGGCACTGGGAACAGTTGAAACTCTCACGCTTCTTACAAAGCATGAAAATGCTTTTTAAAGCATTCCTCTCTTTAATCTATATATGATGTTAAAATTTCCATAAGGAAATGCTACTTAAATAGGAAAAATGCAATCTAGAATGGAGAATGCAATGTAATTGAATGCATTTCCAAAAATGTAGAGATTTAGTTTGATTGACATTGAGTATGAAAGAAAGGAAAGTTGATCCACTTCTGTTTAAACATATTTGGGGACTACTCTGCAAAAAGAAAAAAAAGAAAAAAAGAAAGAAAGAAAATTCCATCTCCTCCAAATGGCCTATTTTAACCTAATTTAGAGAAGATAGATTTACATGACAATGCTATGATGTTTACCCTGAGGTATTTGAGAATGCGGCTAGCTTTAGCCAACTCCCAAATAAAAATTAATCTAAAGAGCATTTCTGGCACTTTCCAAAATTGGAAATCTAAGATACCTCTTACTGCGGCTTGGCACGGTGGCCGTGATAAGCTGAGATAGGTCAAGTGATTTCTTTATAGCCCATTTTGGTCATGAAAGCTGTTACTTGGCCAGATGCTTCTAGAAACACAACATTTAGAATTGAAGCCCAATTCCACCTTCCGCCCTCACTGCTTCCCCATCCCACCCGTCCTCTCTGCTGCTCGCTGGTCCCGCTGGGGCAGGAAACTCGCACCTTGTGGAGATACTGATCCTGCACTGTTCTGATACTGACTCCTCTTCTGCTCATGGGCATACAAAAACTCTGTGATAATTCCAGTCTGTGGGGCTGACTCTGTGGCTTAGCAGGTAAAGCCACCGCCTGCAGTGCCAGCATCCCATATGGGTGCCGGTTCGAGTCCCGGCTGCTCCACTTCCAACCCAGCTCTCTGCTATGGCCTGGGAAAACAGTAGAAGACGGCCCGGAAGAAGCTTCTGGCTCTTGCCTTTAGATCAGCACAGCTCCAGCTGTTGCGGTCATCTGGGGAATGACCTCTCCCTCTCTCTCTCTCTCTCTCTGCCTCTCCTTCTTTCTCTGTGTAACTCTGATTTTCAAAATAAATAAATAAATAAATGTTTTTTAAAAAAAGTAGAAAAATTTCCAATCTGTAGTCCACAGATGCCACCAGACTTGCTCCCAATCAAGAGACACAGAGAGCTGGCTTCAGGGAAGCGAATGCTGAGGTTCTGGACCACGCTGTTCTGAGAGGGTTTTCTCAAAGTGAGGTGTCCCGACCAGCAATGTTGGGGTCCCCATGGGAACCAGGGATGCCCCTAGACCTGCCTTGTGTGGAGCCCAGCAGCCTGTGTGTCCACAAGCCCTCCAGGAAATGCTGGTGCCCTCTCAAGCTTCAGAGCCTCTGTGTGCATCTTTTCTGATTCCTCCCCAACACATCACTCCTTGTAAAATCGAGTCTATATTTATGGTGCACGTGCGTGATGCAACATTGGAAAAGAACACCATGAATTCCCCTTCCATTACCAACAACGTCCCTGGGTGCTTCCAATCCGTTGTTGAGGATGCCTGACCTCATAGTGCGACCCCGGGATCAGACGCGAAGACCCAGGATGTGCACCTGTTCTGCCTCTCATTGAATCAGCCACATGGGTGGGACTCCCTGGGCTGGAGCTCAGCCCCTAACCTGGAAGTTGTCGGTCATGCGCACTGTGATTTGAGGTAAAAGAGCTGTGTTTACCTGATAACCAGCACGTCACGTGCCTGTCCTGGGACATGCGTCAGGGCTTGGAAGCTGGGATACCATGAAGAAGAAGCCCCAGTTCCAAGGGCAGGTACCACAGAGTGTGGGCAACCATGCAGCCAGTGTTCTGTGGGTAGACTGGGGCAGAGGGATCTTCCCTGGGGCTGCTAATCAGAGGTGGGATCTACCTGAGGTCAGACATTCTGGTACCTCGCTCATCCTATTGCCAGAAACTTCCCTGGGACATAAAGAATGCGCTGGGGCTTGGAAGAAGACCCAGAAGATGCTCCTTTGCTTTCCACAGGACAGACCAGCACTGTGGGGTTATCAGGCTCAGGGATTCTCTATCATTGAGGGTTCAGAGTCTCCAGGAGGTGCCTCCCTACCTTTATAAGCTGATGTGGGCTGATGCAAAAATACCTTCTAGCTGTTCTGTCAACAGCAAACACTCCCAGGTTCTTGTATCTCGGCACAGGTATCAGATTGGCTCTGCAGAATAACTGGATGAATTTTTTTGCCTTGATTTTCACCAGAAATTGTTCTCAGTAAGTAGAAAAATGTTCCAATAATCAGGAAAAGGCCCTGAGGGCATCTGATGTGGTTTCCTGCTGCCCCTCAGACTGTCCCTGTGTACACGGTCATGATCTTCCTGTAGGGGAAGCTATCGATGAGCAGCAGCTCAGCCCAGCAGCCATTCAGTGAGCCCATGGCAAGCACTGTGTGCCCGGCAATGTCCGCTTGTTGATGACCATGAGACACTCCTGGTCCAGTTGCTTCTTCCAGGTGGAGTGGATTCAGAGCCTGCTTGTCTCTTTAGCAAAATGAGAAAAAAGCAGCTCACACCTTGCCTGGGGCCCACGGGGCTGCTCTCTGGGTTACACTCCTACACTGGGAGCTCATTGCCCACAGTTCTGCAAGTGGGGTAAACTTGACTGGGGTGGCCTGCTCCTTCCTTTTCTTTCGAAAAGATTTATTTATTAATTTGAAAGGCAGAGATTTGGAGAGAGAGAGAGAGAGAGAATCTTCCATCTGCTGGTTCACTCTCCAAATGGCAGCAATGGCCAGAGCTAGGCCAATCTGAAACCAGAAGCCAGGAGCCTCTTCCAGGTCTCTCCTGTGGATGCAGGGCCCAAGGACTTGGGTCATCTTCTGTTGTCTTCCCAGGTGCATTAGCAGGGAGCTGGATCAGATGTGGAGCAGCTGGGACTCGAACCAGTGCTCATAAGGAATGCTGATGCTGCAGGCAGAGGCTTAACCTTTTCTGCCACAGTGCAGGCCCCCTCCTGCTCCCTCCTAAGCAGTGTATTCTCTCTGTAGCCTCACCAAAGGGTGAAGGGTTCTCAAGGGAGACATGAGCAACACTCATCTCTGCTTCCCAAAGCTCCACCCCTAATTCCATCACCTGGCGGAGTCAGGGGGAAGGGTAGCAACCCAGCATATGATCTGGGGGACACAGACATTCAGGCCTTGGCACACCCCCCCCCTTTCCTACAGCAGGGACAAGGCAGCATGCTGCCGGCAGTGCTCAACCACCCAGCAATGGCACACACATGGAAGGGGTGACCGATCATTTCCACGAAGGCACACTGAGCTCCAGAAGTGTCCCCCGGGCTTTGCAAGACATTTATGCTGCCTCTCCTTTGCTTCAGGTCCAAGGTCACCATGGAGTTCTTCCCATGAGGCGGGTGAAAGCACAGCTTAAGAAGGGATCACTGAGCCGGGCCTCTCCTCCTGCCCCTTCCACACTGCAAGTCCAGGCAGGCAACTTGATTTTCAGTGCGTGCCCAGTAAGCCTCCCAAATGAAAGATTTAGGAATATGCTGAAGTCAGGACCTCCATAAAGATAACGCTGTGAAATGGAGCCCGTGTCTCTTGTGGACACATCCCGCATCTCCAGGCGGCTGCTCTGTGACGTGTTCCTGGTTTCAATAAACCATTCATAGGAAACTGAGCACTCTTTGAAAGGGGACACTGCATTCCGGGCTGCTGTTGACAAGGCACAATTCAGTGTCTGCAAGCCAGCATCTGCACCAGACTGCAATGTGTGCTGGTATTCGCCAGTGTTCAGAGCCTTCCAGGCTGACTGTGTCTACCGGGGTTTGCCTTGGGCTGGCTCCATAACAGGCACACACTTACAGGAGGTTGTGACTGGTATCTGGTGCTGTTGGTTCCCCCTGGCTGCCACCCAGGGCACTTGCCATTCTGGTGCACACGGGTGGCATCCTGCTGTCAGGACAGACACCTCCCGGAAGGACTTTCTCTCTGCCCATGGAGATGGGGTATAGGTGCTAGGGGCTATCTTCCTCAAGAACTACCCTTGGTCAGTGACAGGAGCTGGGACTCGAACCAACACCCATATGGGATCCCAGCACTGCAGGCAGCGGCTTTACATGCTACGCCACAGCGCAAGCCCCGTGAAGCCTTTTTTATAAGGGCTTTGAGCCTATTCATGAGGTGAGGCTCCCTTGTGACCCCACCTGTTGGGACAGGCTTTGTGGCACAGCAGGGAAAGCACCTACCTGTGACACAAGCGCACATATGGGCACAGGTTCAAATCCCAACTGCTGCACTTCTGATCCAGTTCCTTGCTAGTAGCCTGGGAAAGCAGTGGAAGATGGTCCAAGTCCTTGGACCCCTGCACACATATAGGAGACCTAGAAGAAGCTCCTGGCTCCTGGCTTTGGCTTGACCAACCCTTGGCTGTTGGGGTCATCTGGGAAATGAATCAGAGGATTAAAGATTCTCTCTTTCTCTCTCCTTCTTTCTGTGTAATGCTGACTTCCAAATAAATAAAATTTTTCTTAAAAAAAATCCCTACGCCTGTTCTAGTCCTAGTTGCTCCTCTTCCAGTCCAGCTCTCTGCTGTGGCCTGGGAAAGCAGTAGAAGCTAGCCCAAGTGCTTGGGCTCCTGCACCCGCATGGGAGACCAGGAAGAAGCACCTGACTCCTGGCTTCAGATCGGTGTAGCTCTAGTTGTTGCGGCCGTTTGGGGAGTGAACCAACGGAAGGAAGACCTTTCTCTCTGTCTCTCTCTCTCACTGTCTGTAACTCTACCTGTCAAATAAATAAATAAAAATCTAAAAAAAAAAAAGGCCCTACCTCTTAAAACCATCCTACTGAACATTAAATTTCAACACCTCAATTTTGGAAGAGATGTATTCAAACCCTAGAGATTCTAAATTTCACTCTTCTCCACTGATATTTGAGCATTTTCTTATGCCAGAGGTTGTATCAAACTTTGGGTTATACTCTAAACTAGGATATTGTGTGTGTGTGTGTGTGTGTGTTGAACTCTTTATTTGGTGGAGAATTAAGCTCTTGATTGTGGTATAAATTTAAAATGTTACCACAAAATTGTGAATAAAAGAAAGAAGGAACTAAAGAATGAAAATAGAGAGGGAAAATCATTATATTCTTAGGATAGTGTCTATGAACTATACTGAATTAAACAGAATATGTTAAGAACTAAAAAAATTTGAAAATAAATTGAAAAAGAAAAGAAGAGCTTTGGGTTATAGTGTATGTGTATTAGGGTTCACTAGAGAAACAGGACCGATGGGAGAGATTTACTATAAGAAATCTATCATGAGATTTATTATAGGGTTTGGGCTCACACATTTATGAAGTTGGCCATCTGCAAGCTGAAGACCCAGAAAAGAGGAGGCTTTGGTTACAAGGCCTGAGAGCTGGAGTTCATGGTGTTGATTCCAGACTTGGTCTTCAGACCTCAGAACCTAGGGCTCCAGCGCCAGGGAGCACCCATGTGCCAGTGTAAACAGGCAGAGAGCTAACTCCGACTTCTGGTTATCCCCAGACCCTTGAATAGACAGGCTGATGTCCTGGGGCTGGGTGCATGTTTGACCCAGTCCACCAATTCCAATGCCAATCTCTTCCAGAAACACCCTCACAGACACGCCTGGATATAATGCTTACCCGGACACCTGCCAGTCCTGTGACCCACACAATGGACCATCACAAATGCATTCCCGATCAACTTGTCAGCCATACACAGCGCTTTAGCCATACTTAATCTCTGAATAAAGACAAAATTTGGGTTATAATTCCATCTGACATGAGACAACCACCCTGTATATACCAGAAAACTCATTCATCCCTTCTCTGGAGTGGGAGTAGAGCTCACTCTTCTCTTTAGTATCTCCACTTAAATCCTATAAGAACTTAACACATCTTATGTTATAGGACAGAGGAATAAGGGAGGGAAGAAAACAAAGATATTTGTCCGGCTGCGTGGTCATAGCTAGTTTTTATAATTCCATTCTTCCCCTACTCATCCCACATCCCCTTGGCTTTCAAATAGCATCGTAGTTACTCATGGTTCTCTGCCTAGATTGACCCAACCCTCGTTGCTGAATGGCCCAGGCCATCAGCAGTCCTGCCCGGACTGTGTTGTAATTTTCTACTGGTCTCAATCACAGGGCTTGCTGATGCTGGAGATACCAGGAGACACCCTAGGGGATCTCTGCATCCCAACCACACTCTCTCTACCCTCCATTGTGGAGTGCTAGTCAGATTTCTCTCAGAAGTTGGAATTGATTCTCTACCAGCCGAGTAACCCCTTTCTCCTCCCGCTGATTCCGAGGCAACAAGGAGCCAAAAGCAGTTAGATGGGCATTTTAACTTCCCTTTCAATGGAAGCATTGTTATGTCTCTGGCTGGAAGCATTCCTCCTCCAGGTCAGCAGAGCATAAGTTCCTGAAAACAGGAAATAAAAATACTTTGCGGATAGCTCACTAGGGGAAATGGTGAGAGGTACCACTCCTATTCCACCCCTTCACTCCCGGACCTAATGAATCCTGGCTTTGCAACAAGTGTTTCCAGATATTGAAAGCTGATGCAGGGCACGACTTGCACAATCCCGGTCCAGCCCTGGAAGGCACTGTCACCTAGCTGTCACTGTCCCCGAGTCTTCAAAAGGCCATTCCATCATGCTGGGAAGCCAGTGGCTTCAAGGATGATGAGGGACTTGGGAAATCCAGTGAACTCCACACATAGGACTCAGTACTGCACTTCTTGAGAGTTTCTTGATTGGAAGCAATGTGGACGTGGAATACCATGATGGAGGACACTGTAGGCTGAAAATCTAATGAAGGTCATTTTGCATGAAGATAAGGCAAATCTGTATTCAGAGTAAGAAGGGGGCATTTGAGCCACTTCTTCATGTACTCACTTGAGCCGTCAGGGACTGCTTGGGCTCAGACTCACATTCCTCTCCCATTGAATGTTGGGGTGATATTGCATATCCCTAGCTAATTCATGATGGGTGGCTCAGGCTGCATGGTGACTCCATGCTTTGTGTAATAGAAAGGCAATCAAGATTCCTGTGAACTGAAGTGTGGCATAGGGCTGGAGAGCTGGTGGCCCTCTGAGGTCTAGCTAGCGCTGCGGTTCTCTGACACTTTCCAGTTGAAAGCAAACACTTTTTTTTTTGACAGGCAGAGTGGACAGTGAGAAAGAGAGAGACAGAGAGAAAGGTTTTCCCTTACCGTTGGTTCACCCTCCAATGGCTGCTGCACTGCGCTGATCCGAAGCCAGGAGCCAGGTGCTTCTCCTGGTCTCCCATGCGGGTGCAGGGCCCTAGGACTTGGGCCATCCTCCACTGCACTCCCAGGCCACAGCAGAGAGCTGGCCTGGAAGAGGAGCAACCGGGACAGAACCCGGCACCCCGACCAGGACTAGGACCCGGGGTGCCGGTGGCGCAGGCGGGGGATTAGCCTATTGAGCCATGGCGCCGGCCGAAAGCAAACACTTTTTAATGAACCTTATGGACAGGTATAGAGAAGAAACCAATTCCAGATCAATAGCTACATACTGGGATATTGATGTGCTCAAGCAAGGAAACTACATCTGGTAGGGCTGCTGCAATTGGAGTTGCTGCTTTGTAAGCTTAGAAACTACACTCTTGTTCTCCAAGATCCACCTGTCTTCTGCACATGACAAATAGTGGAGTTGAATGGCCCTGTGGTGGGAATCCATAGTCCTCCACAGTGGGGTTAACCTCTGCCATCCCTCCAGGAGAGCAGCACCACTGTGGGTTCACTGTGTTCCTAAGCAGAGGAAGTGCTAAGGGCATCCCATCACCCTTTCTCCCTCACCGCAGCCCTCACTCCACAGTTTGGGCAACCAACGCAAGGATTCTGCCTGCCTCTGTGTGTGTCTATTCCAATTACTCATTTCTAACCTGGAGGAGGAACCACAGGTGGGCTTGGGCACGCACTGGGCCCAGTGTGGGATGGGCTGGAGCCTCATTCATCGATTGCCTGACCTCCACAAGCCCTCGATCTACCAGTGGAGCACAGTGACATTTTGTGTCTTCTGGAATTAGCGTCAGTTCAGAGCCAGCGTCCATCAGCATCCAAAGTCTGAGTATTGCCTTCTCCCCAGCACACCACTATCTTGGCAAAAGGCATGGGTCCCTTTGGGGAAGGTTGGAAGAATGAAGTGTGAGAGTCCTTTCTCCAGGGGACCCTGTCTCGTCTCTATTCAGTGAGTGCTGGCTCAGCTCCAGGAGCTAACTGAAGAAGCACGAGGCTTTATTTCTATGACTTAAGTTACGCATGGACGCTTTTGATCTAGACTGTTTATGCCTGTTCATACCAAGTGAGCACTTAGCAGACTTTCTATTTCACTTCCAGGATCACCGCGGACAATGAGAGCAACAGTGATAGGGTTGGGGAAGTCACTGCTATGTGGAAGTCACTGCTGTTAATCCTCTGCCCGTGGCCGTAACCACATCCTCTCGGCCTCTACCCCTCCAGGATCTCGTCACTCCCACCGTATTTTTCAATCCAGTGACTGCGTTTCCTACGGTGGGGTCTGGACTGCAGGGCTGAGTGATCCCAGCATGAGCCAGGCAATTCGCCAGCACAACAGAACTCAGCTGAATCCTTTCATACCCTGTGGATTCGGAGTTTCTCTGATTTTGCAAACAAGGAAATGAACCCAGTGGTTGTGGGGCGAGGCCACAGTTAGGCAGCTGGTATTTAAGCTAAGAATTTTCAGGGGGCCTGGGTCTCCAATCTCCCACCTGCACTTCGCAAAAAGCTCCGTGAGACACTTCTGTATTGTATGGGACATCTCTATGAGGTATCTGGAAGATCATGCACAATTTTATGAAAAAGGAAAACTCGGTATGCTCTTAGACAAAGTCACTATGTCCTATCTCTAACCAAAAAGCTTTTCTAAAGCCGGCAGACCGGGAGAGGGAGGATTCTGGTCACCACAGACCACGAAGTTTTCTGCACGATTTCCCATCTGATGTGGAAAATCATTCTGTAACATTTAAGCCTCCAGACTGGGTGGACTTTGAAAACCAAAATTTAACAGTCGAATCAAAGAGATGTAGGAAACAAACAGTCTCTTTGCCTCCTTGGCTCATAGGCATACCTCCCATCTCAACTACCCAATGTCAAAGAAAGAGTGAGAGAGAGAGAGAGAGAGAGAGAGAGAGAGAGAGAGGAGAAAGAGAGAACGGTAGAAAAGAAGGAAGGAAGGAAGGAGGGAAGGAGAGGGGAGTGGAGGGGATGATGGATGGACCTCATAAACCCGGGGTGGGGAGAGCAAAAATCTCACATTAACTCCTCCCTCAGGGACCTTGCTTATAGCCACCTGGGTGGGCCAGGTGGGACATGTCCTCTGTTAGTTACAGATGAAGAGGCGCTTCCTGGCAACTTCTTGCTACGATGTTTGTAAAGTTTACTAAGGCAGAGTTTTTAGGTTAGTATTTTTAAAACTTGTCAACATGGCTGTTCCTACTTCCTCTCTGGTAAGATCACACATGGAAAGACCTCAGTATCTTGCAGAAAACTGTTTGCTGAGTTCCCCAGGCCACTGCTGCTCGGGTACCTGCAGCCCCCAGCACTTACACTTATACCGACGAAGCATGCCTCTGACACGGGGTGGCTGGGTCCAGGTTCTGGTCTCCTACGCAAGAAACAATTCAAGATGAAATGCAGGTAAAGGTCTGCAGAGAAGCGAGATTATTTGCACACAAAGTGAAAGTACACACTAAGGAGAGCAGCCATGTTCAAGAGAGAGCTTCATTCTCTTGGGGGCCCTCCCTTTATAGGATCTGGGGGCACAGGGAGTGGTGTCTGTGGTGGGGTTTAATTGAATATTCATAAGAGGTGGAGTTTGGGTGGGGCTTCAGCACCGCCCATTTCCTTGCTCTATTTTGGAAAACTCAGAAGTGTCATAGCAGCAGGTGCATGATGGGAATAGGAGTGTCAGCCATGATAACTGGATCAGCATAAGGTCACCACAGGGAGGTGGGCAGCCAGCACGTGGGTTATTTTGGACTGTGCCACTTCTGAGCAGCAAAAGAGTGGAGGTGGCAGGGAGAGTGTTGAGTGGTACAGGCAGGGCTGCAGGGAGGGGCTGGTGACGCCGGGTCCTCCTAGCTGGCTACCTCCCTGCCTCCGCCAAAACCCCTGCTGAATGCTTCAGCAAAAGGTGGTGATGGACTTCGGTAGTAGGATCTAAAGAGTGCTGGGCAGATGGACAAAACCAACAGGAATGGATGCAGAGCCACCTCCAAGGCCACAGGGGAGCATCTAAATAGACTATCGGACTCACCTCACAGATGCTACGCAGCCATGAAAACACAGAAAGTAAACCAGGTGCACTGTGATGGACAGAGCTAAGGTTAATTAAGGAGAAAAAATAAACAGTGCAGGATGACACCTTTGGCAGGAGTGGCAGGACGTCCCCTGCAGGTGGGAGCAGTGTGCTCCATGTCCCTGTGTGAAAAAGGAGGCAGCAGGCGGACAAAGTGTCGCCTGGCTTGGGGAATGTCTCGTCTTCCGCCTCGGGTGCTTTTCCACCATGTGGTCGCCTCATCACCCCGCAATTTGCGTCACTTCCTTCCGGTGCGTGGCAAGATGCTACCTGAGCACACGTTGCGCTGGTACCTGCATACAGACTCACATTTCAGGCACCTGCCAAATTCGTTCCTATGAATGGTTCTCTTGCAAATTTATGGACTCACTGATTATTTGGCAAAGCCCACCCTTCCAATGACCCTGACTATTTTTATGTTTTCCACATAACACGGTGCTTGCTGCACATTCAATAATGCCTTCTGATTGAACAGATAGATTTTTATATCCAAAGTAGTGACAGACAAGAACAGAGAGTGGGTTTCTGACAGGCTAAGAACGCCATCCTGTTCAACAGAACCGTGCTTAATTGCCGACACTCAATGATTACTCACCCCAAAAGGAAAGTTTCGTACCCGGTACCTGTGGTATTTTCACATCCTCTGCTCACCTGTCAGGTAGGGATAGGTCTCCAGGGAGGAAGGCCACTCCCCCCACACGCTGTACACATGGATTCAGGACTTGAATCCATCACATTCTTTAGTACGCCAGGTAGCCTGCATGGTGTGTCCGTAGCAATGTGCTTCTTTGTACCAGGAAGATCGGCAGAGTGGTTTGCATTCTGCCGCAGTGTGGACCAATTTTGGCTGAGTTCCAAGCAGCAGAAATGGCAGCAGCTACCTGACACCTGCGGTGTTGAACTTGGCTTGCTTTTCTAACCGTCAGAAACTCAGCGCTGCCCAAACCCGTGGGGCTCACAGTCAAAAGCAAAAAGGAGGAAGGAGACTTCTCTCCATGTGTAATAAGAAAGACTTTGAGGAGGGGTCATAGAATTCTTTTTCAAGATCTCACTGGAGATTTGGCTTATATAAACCTCAGTCTTGGGGCTGGCGCTGTGGTGTAGCGGGTAAAGCTACCGCCTACAGTACCAGCATCCCATATGGGCACCAGTTCAAGTCCTGACTGCTTCACTTCTGATCAGCTCTCTGTTAAGGCCTGGGAAAGCAGTAGAAGATGGCCCAAGTTCTTGGGGCCCTGAACCTACATGGGAGACCCAGAAGAAGCTCCTGGCTCCTGGCTTCTGGCTTCAGATTGGTACAGCTCCAACCATTGTGGTCAATTGGGGAGTGAACAACCAAATGGAAGATTTCTCTCTCTGCTTCTCCTCTTCTCTCTGTGTAAATCTGACTTTCAAATAAATAAATCTTTAAAAAAAAAAAAACCTCAATCTTGTGATTAAAGCAAAGTTTGCCCATTAAGCTAACGAAATGTCCCATCCTGGTAACACGCACATTTTAGCTCTGCAGTGGGATGCTTCTAAAAATCATTGCAATCATTCTAATGTTTGGATCCCCCCAGCTGACCCATAAACACAGGGATTCCAAGTTCTTTCCTTCCCACTCACTCTGGATTTACAACTTTCCTCTTCTGGCTGTTGCAGGCTGCATGTGTAGCCAAAGAATGTCCATGCTAACCTTAAACACAACTGTATGATCTTCCCCTGAAGTCTTTTGACAAAGGATGGCAAATCTCCTTAGTCAACGCTTACCATGACAAGGCTGAAACAGGGTACACGACTTTTCCTGAACACACAGGATGTGTCTGGCGATAGGGAGCATTGTGTTAGAGTCCCAATTCATAACTCTTTTGTCAAAGTTGAGAGTCAGCTGTAAGTTATTTGGTCGTTTAACTTTCACCCATTTTCCTGGCTGGCTTTTTGGTTTCTTCTATTCTTTGCAGAAAATGAGAGTTCCTGCATTTTTGAATGTCTTGAGTGTTTGGCATGAATCACTGATGGTGCTGTGAATTAGCGTGCATTCCAGCTGGGCCTTTCCCAGTCTGTGACAAAAACAAGAACCTGCACCTGGAGTAGCACCATCCCACCCCGGCACCCTTGCCTCTGCCGTGTCCACGGGGACCATCGCCGTAGCCTCCACCATGCATTTCTGTCCATATTCAGCTCTGCAGCTTTCAAAACCCTGGGACATTTGTCTCTGTCTCGTCACGTCCCAAGAAGGAATGTGAAAAACACACAGGGGAAGAAAGTAGTAAATAAATAAATGAGAACGATAACAAGTTTCACTCTTTCTCTGCCTGGTGCGACGCAGGCACTCAGCACATGCGTGTTAAATAGTCAATTACAAGCAAAGAATTAGAATGGACTTGGCCACCTATGAAATTTAATAGCCCAGTTGTGTTTGGCTGTTGGGCTTTTTCTGTAAGAATTCTTTGTGTGAGTATAATCTGGACACGGGTCCTTAAAACACTCATGATGGCGCAGAAGAACCACGAGCAGGGTGGGCATTGTGGCTGACTCAGCAGATGCAGCTGTCACTTGGGAACACCTGCTTCCTCTAGCAGAGTGCTGGGGTCCTGATACCCACATGGGAGGCCCTGAGGGAGCTCCTTGCTCCTGGCTTTGACCTGGCTCAGCCCTGGACATGATGGACATTTGGATGGTGAATCAGAGGATGGAAAACTTCTCTCTCTCTCTCTCTCTCTCTCTCTCTCTCTCCCTCCCTTTCAGGTAGATTAAAATAAATCAACAATTTAAAAACATTTTTAACGAGCCATGAGGAAAGTTGGAGAGTGTAGTGCCTCATTATTTACACCAAGGGATCCCCAAAAGGCAGAAGGAGAGTGGTGGATTCTTCAAAATTTTGCTTGGCTGATCAGTGCTCTGCGTGAAAGAAAAAAACTGAACTGTGACCCCCCAACTTCTTATCTACACATAAATCGCTATGAAATAGATAGGAGACTAAGATATGAAAAGTAAAAGGATAAAGCTTTTAGCATAAAACAGGAGAACAGGGGCTGGTACCATGGCATAGCGGGTAAAGCCTGCAGTGTCGGCATCCCATATGAGCGCCGGTTTGAGTCCTGGCTGCTCCACTTCTGATCCAGCTCTCTGTTGTGGCCTGGGAAAGCAGTGGAGGATGGCCCAAGTCCTTGGGCCCCTGTACCCATGTGGGAGACCCGGAAGAAGCTCCTGGCTCCTTACTTCGGATTGTCTCAGTTTTGGCTGTTGTGGCCAACTGGGGAGTGAACCAGAGGATGAAAGACCTCTCTCTCTCTCTCTCTCTCTCTCTCTCTCTCTCTCTCTCTCTCGTGTGTGTATGTGTGTGTGTAACTCTGACTTTCAAGTAAATAAATAAATCTTTAAAAATTAAAAGGGGAACATATATTCTGACTTTGAGGTAGGAAATTAAAAAAAAAAAAAAGAATCTCAAAGCATCAAGGGCGGGACTAGTGGGTTATGCTGCCACCATATTGGAGCACTTGTTTGAGTCACAGGCCATTAGCAGGGAGCTGCATAGGAAATGGAGCAGCCAGGACACAAAGCAGTGCCCATAAGGGACACTGGCACTCCAGGCCTCAGCTTTACCCACTCCACCACAATGCCAGCCCCAACATATCACAGCTTTGCTGCAGATATAAAGGAAAGAACACAAAAGGCATGCATCTTCTTGTTTTGTGTCTTTTTAGGAGACTGGCAGACTTTGGTTAGCTAGAAACATCCATCCACATACATGGCAAAATTCATTTCAGATTCAAAGGGTTTGGCAACATTGTTCACAATAAGAACGCGAGTCATATAAAAGGCATTCAATTCTATCCCACTCCATAGCATCACCCAGGGATGAAAATGTTTATGGGTCTTTTTTTATGGAGGACTGAAGGAGCTTATCATCAGAATACACACACGTGTAGATGTAGTATTTTTTTAAAAAGATGTGATGACATGTAAATTAAGAATCAGAAATGGAAACATTTTAAGCATGAAAAGAAAAACAGAATAGATGTTGAATGAATAATGAACCACTATTTGTAGATGCTTAAGGTCCAAAACACACCTAAATATTTATCCAGATGTTTAGGAGCTGGTGGTGTGGCTTAGTGGGTTAAACTGCAGCCTGCAGTGCCAGCAACCCATAAGAGCCCTGGTTCAAGTCTTGGCTGCTTCACTTCCCATCCCTCTCCCTGCCAATGTACCTGGGAAAGCAGTGAAGGATGGCTGGTAAAAGTGGAAGATCTAGAAAAGTGGGACCCATATCACCACATGCCCACATCAGATGGGACGGAATAGCAGCTCCCCTTCTGGGCGGGGACCAGCTGCTCGGTTTTGGCTATGGTCCCTACCACTCCCGATTGCCCCATTACCTGGATCCATCTTAACTTGTGCTGTTGCCTGGCCCTGGAAGGTGTGTGATTCACTGGTTCACTCCCCAAATGGCTGTAACAGCCAAGGCTGGACCAGGCTGGAGCCAGGAGCCAGGAGCTTCTTCCAGGGCTCTCGCATAGGTGGCAGGGGCACAAGCACTTGGACCATCTTCCACTGCCTTCCCAGGTGCAATAGCAGGAAGCTGGTTCCAAAGCAGAGCGGCCAGGACTCAAATCGGCACCCATATGGGAGCCTGGCGTCACAGGCGGAGGCTTAGCCCACTGTGCCACAACATCGGGTTTTGAAGACAAGTAGAAGTTCGACAAGGAAGTGGAGGGTGAGTATCTTCTGCCCCCTTCTCCTGTGGCTGATCTTTCTGCTGAGCAAGGGCTCCTCCATGTGTGTGCTCAGGGTGCCATGGGACACACCCAGGGAGACTCTGAAGAGAGGCTGGGACAGACAGGACACGCAGTGGGTCATCTCCCTGGATGTCCGTGATGCAAGCTCCTCCCTCAGCCCCTCCCCCACAGGCCTTCTCGACAACCGTCTCCTGGCAGGGGATGCACGTGCTCATCCGACGCCCGCGAGTGTGATATCTGCATCCTCCTTGGCCGCTGGAGGTCCTAACCTATGATCCTTGCACGTGAAACTCCCTGGGGGCTGGCCTAGCATGCACCTGCCTTCTGAAGACTCCTCCCCCACCCCCACTCCCTACCCCCACCCAAAGGAAAACTACTGAAGCTTACACTGGAAGGATCTAGATTTCCCAAGCCGCGGCGAGGATGCTCTGAGACTAATTGAGGCTGACTAACCCATCCACCCGAGCCAGCCGTCTGCCTGCTACGCTCACGTCACGTAAACACAGTTCCGTGCAACCCCGTCATTTCCGCACCGCAAGATAAACACTTTAAGAAACTAATGTAGTTCTGTTCTTCCCACAAGCCCCCACCTCCCCCAATCCAGGGGAAAGGTCAACAGAAGCCAGGAGCCAGATGATGCTGGTGACGTCCGTTTGATTGACACTGATAGGGAAGGTGCAAGGTTCTTGGAGTTAAGAGAGCCAGCGTCCCCCCTTCTCCACCATCACCCCTGGTCCCAGGTGCTTGGTGCTACCCCAGGATGGGAACATGGTAGATTCACTTTTTTTTTTTTAATATTTATTTATTTATTTGAAAGACAGAGTTACAAAGAGGCAGAGGCAGAGAGAGAAGTCTTCCATCTGCTGGTTCATTCCCCAGTTGGCCACAAAGGCTGGAGCTGTGCCAATCTGAAGCCAGGAGCCAGGAGCTTCTTCCAGAGCTGAGCCTATCCAAAGCCAGGGGCCAGGAGCCAGAAGCTTCCTCCAGGTCTCCCACATGGGTACAGGGGCCCAAGGACTTGGGCCATCTTCCACTGCTTTCCCAGGCCATAGCAGAGAGCTGGATTGGAAGTGGAGCAGCCAGGACTCGAACCGGTGCCCATATGGGATGCTGCACTGCAGGAGCCGGCTTTACCTGCAAGGTGTCTGGTGCATAACAAATCTTCCCAGGCAGATGAATCAATTAATTCACGAGCTTTTATTGGGATTCTGCTCCCGAGCGAGGTTCCCCGGGCCCAATAGAGCAACAGAGCAGGGGCCAGGGAAGTCACGCATCAGAGGTTGGGTGGGCTCCTTTTATAGATACAGGGCATCCCTCCTTGCGGATCCCAAAGCTACCATTACCCACTTTGCCACAGCACTGGCATGGACTCACATTTAAACCTGTTCTTCAACCTCTGGCAAAGCCACACTGGGAAAGTGCGCAGGTGATCTAGTGCAGACATCAGCTCCTGCTGCCCCCTTGACATTCACAGACATTTAATTCAATCCTCTCTGCTCCAACTTGGGGATACTCCACATCCTCCTGAAGACCTTAGCAGGGGGCTGGAGCTGTGGCGTAGCGGATAAGGCCACCTGCCAGCATCCCATATGGGCACCGGTTCCAGTCCCGGCTATCTTCCAATCCAGCTCTCTGCTATGGCCTGGGGTAGCAGTGGAAGATGGCCCAAGTCCTTGGGCCCCTGTGCCCACGTGGGAGACCCAGAAGAAGCTCCTGGATCCTGGTTTCGGATCGGCACATTTATGGCCAATTGGAAAGTGAACCAATGGATGAAAGACCTCTCTCTCTCTCTCTCTCTCTCTCTCTCTCTGCCTCTCCTTCTCTCTCTGTGTAACTCTTTCAGATAGATAAATAAATTTAAAAAAATAAAAAAAAAACCTTAGCAAACCTCTACAAACCCATGACCTCCCAATCGCTTGTACTTTGGCCTGGTCTTTCCCAGTCCTAGCTCTGGGCATGCTTGGCCTCCATTTCAACTGTCTTCAGGGAGAACCCAAGAGCTGTGCTTTAATTCCATCAACACACACACACACACACAGAGAGGCATGTACACACGTGGGCGCACAAGCTGAAAACCTTGAAATCCATGAAGTTTTCAAGATACACAATTCCAATGAACCTTTCAGAAGTCCCTAATACACATGAATTCAAAACAGTCATGCGCCAAAAGAAATCTAGCTTTTAATTCTGTGTTTCATGAGAAAGCGAAAATAGCCTTGTAGAAGCACTTATGTTGGGGGAGGGGAGAGTTAAATGAGTGTTTGGGGGGAATAAAAGTATTTCTGCGAAGAGCATAAAATTCACCTTGAGCTAATCCTGCCCTTCCTGGTTCTTCTACGTCTCCCTCACCTCGTGCTCATCACACTTCCATCCTCTCGCCTCCCTCCCACTCTCTCTCTCTCTCTCTCTCTCTCTCTCCCCTTTTCTATCTCTGCATTTCCAGACTTCTTCTCCTGGAAATCAAGGTCCAATCCCCTTAGAATAAGACCCCACCTGGGACAAGTGTTTGAGGCCCTTGCCTGAGATGCCTGCATCCCGTACCAGAGTGCCTGGGCCGGAGTCCCAGCGCTGGCTCCTGACTTTCGCCTCCTGTTAATTCACACACCCTGGGTGGCAGGGCAGTGAGGATGGCTTGAATAATTGGGTTCCTGCTGCCTACAGGGCAGGCCTGGATTGAATTGCTGGCTCTTGGCTCTGGCTTGGTCCAGTCCTGCCTGTTGCAGGCATTTAGGAAGTAAAAGCGAATAGGAAATCTCTGCTTCTCTTTATCTATCTATCTATCTATCTATCTATCATCTCTATCTCTATCTATCTATCATCTATCTGTATTTCTATCATCTATCATCCATCTGTCATCTCTCTGGCATCTATTTCTATCTGCTTTTCAAATGAATAATAAACAAAAAATAATTAAAACAGACTAACATTTCACAGCACCACCTCTTTCCTCAATAGTACACTCCCTTCCCTACAACTCACTTCTCATCCCACCCCTTTTCTCCATTCTCAGACTAAACAGAGGGCGGAATTGTAACTGTTTGGGAGTTGTTGGGAAGTCAGGCCTTCAAAGCAAGCTGCTCCACCCTGGAAATGAAGATGGAGCATTGTCAGTCTGCACATGGACACCACCAGGTTTCCACCTGAAATATGAAGCCAGGAAGTAGAATCTCCAAGTGTTTCAAAAACATGCAACAACGGCCAGCGCCGCGGCTCACTAGGCTAATCCTCTGCCTGCGGCGCCAGCACCCCGGGGTTCTAGTCCCGGTTGGGGCACTGGTTCCGTCCTGGTTGCTCCTCTTCCAGTCTAGCTCTCTGCTGTGGCCCGGGAGTGCAGTGGAGGATGGCCCAGGTCCTTGGGCCCTGCACCTGCATGGGAGACCAGGAGGAAGCACCTGGCTCCTGGTTTCGGATCAGCGCGGTGCGCTGGCCACAACACAACTGCGGTAGCAGCCACTTGGGGGGTGAATCAACAGAAAAAGGAAGACCTTTCTCTCTGTCTCTCTCTCTTACTGTCTAACTCTGCCTGTCAAAAAAAAAAAAAAAAAAAAGCATGCAACAACTTTACCTATCATAATTGTATCGGGGCTGGCACTGTGGCGTAGCAGGTAAAGCCACCACCTGCAGTACCAGCATCCCATGTGGGTGCTGGTTCAAGTCCCGGCTGCTCCACTTCCCAGCCAGCTCTCTGCTATGGCCTGGGAAAGCAGTAGAAGATGGTTGAAGTCCTTGGGCCCCTGCACCTGCATGGGAGACCTGGAAGAAGCTCTTGGCTCCTGGCTTTGGATCAGCTCAGCTCAAGCTGTTGCAACCATCTGGGAGTTAAACAGCGAATGGAAGACCTCTCTCTCTCTCTCTCTCTCCCTCCCTCCCTCCCTCTCTCTCTCTCTCTGCCTCTGTGTCTCTGTCACTCTGCCTTTCAAATAAATCAATAAATTTCTTTTACCAAATATTTTAAGCATGTTAATGATCTATGTCTCAGGTTTGGTGGCTTCCCCCAAAGCAGCCATATGGATCCAGTTGATCAGTTTGGGAGGTGACCCCCCACCCCCATGAAACACATTGAGAGGTTGGGAATATGAGGCTGAGAAAGGGTGCAAGTTAATGACAGGTGGCTCCAAGAGTCCCAGCCGAACCCATGGAAGCCGATCGCTATGGAGCTCTGACACTGTTCGAACACCATGCTCAGAATGACCCAGGGAGGGGTAAGGCCGAGGTCACTGACCCAGCTCCTCCATCTTCTCCAGAGGCCTGGGCCTCTCTGGCCTGTCATGCACAGCCCACTGGTCACTGTTCATACAGTGGACCAAGGGCATATGGGCCGGATATTGATCCTGCCGGCTGCTAAGAACTGAGATGACTTGCATCTGATGTAGCCAACAGAGTGCCTAAGTGAGTATGCTGTCTTATTTGCTTCTTCCAGCAAATCAATACCAGCGCCAGGCTGCCCTTGCGTGGGCTGACTGCAGGCCGGTCCAGATGTGACTCTTACAGCTGCTTTGCCAGGATCTGGCCTCGATCGGGTTTGACAGTCACAGTGCAGACGGCTCCCTGCTTCCACTGTCTCTCTCTTCAAGCCAACCCCCAGGTAAGAAAGTGGACTCCCTTCTGAAGCCACCCTGCTGTGAGCAAGGCCAAGGTCGCTGCATGGAGAAAGCATATAGGGCAGCACCCAGCTGTGAGTCATGGCTGTGAGCCCTGAGCCTTCCCCAGCAGAGACCAGAGCACAGCAAAGTGCATGGTCTCACCAGCGTCTTGAAGAACAGAATGACTGCCCCAGGCCACCCCACAGTGTGAGAAATCAGATGATTTAATAAGCCATCAGGTCAGTCCCAGCGGAAACTGAGGGTGCAAATGCTTGCTTCTCCCAGAAGTTAACCTTTAGCAAAGTGGAATGTGCCTTCTCCAGCCCTTGGGAGCTTCCAATGTTATCATGAGAATAGCAAGGGAGTGGTGACTCTGCCCTTCTGAGCTCACAGTTTACTGGAAAAACAAGATACCTCTCCCGTTCATCATGAGCAAGCCAGACAAGACAAATAGATGATTTACCAGGTTTTTTGATAGCTTTTGCCTTGTTACTGATTGTCAAGTTGATTGACAAGTTTTTTTTTTCTTTTTTTTATTCCCCAAAATTGTGCTTAAAAACCCCACTACAGCCAGCTTCTTTGGGTTGTGCCTCTCTCTGAGCCACCCCCCTCCCCCTGGCCACTCTGACTTAAATAAATCTTGTTTTTCTCTCTGCCTTGTTCACTTGGAAATTCTTCTTCCGATGGAGACAAAGAACCAAGGTAATCTTTTCTCTGCCGTTTCACCCCTAACAACAGCACCATGAAAAGTAAGGCTCTGAAGGCACAAATACTCTGGCATGCTTTGTTAGCTTGCTGAAATAAATGTCAACGGTGGCTTTTTTCCATAGTCACTATTCAACTTGTACACAGTTGAGTAGAATTGCTATTTAAGGTCTTTTTAAAGTAAGGTTAAAAAAAAAAGCAATTAATGGGAAAACTGTAAGATTTCTCTCAATCACCAGGCAAGTGGGAAGCCAGTTCCTAGAGAGATGTCTTGCCTTCGCTGTGACATGGGCAGCGAATCAAAGGCAATGATGCAAAACAATATAGCAGCAGCATGTATGGGCCTGGGGCTGCCATTGCTCTGAGCACAGGTCAATTATCGGCGTGCAGTTGGAGCTGAGCTTGTCTTGAACTGCCTCCATTTAGAGACTTCATCAAGATCGGTTGTAGAGGCCATGAAGCAAGTTCCAACAGGCCTGCGAGCTGACACACTGAGCTATGGTGCAGAGATGGGAGAACCTTGGTTGCTCGCAGAAAACTGTGATCCTGTTCTTCAAGACAGAACATCATGGTTATTGAGCCATTTAGCTAACACCTTTTAAAAAAGAAATTTACTGAAAAGGCAGAGTTTAGATAGGAAGGAAGAGACAGAGACAGAGACAGAGAGAGAGTGGTCTACCATCAGCTGGTTCATTCCCCAATTGGCCTCAATGGCCAGGGCTGGTCCAGGCGGAAGCCAGGAGCCAGGAACTTCTTCCAGGTCTCCCATGTGAGTGGCAGAAGCCAAAATACTTGGGCCATCTTCTGCTGCTTTTCCCAGGCCATTAGCAGGGAGCTGAATTGGAAGTGGAGCAGCTGGGACTCGAACCACCACCACCCACATGGGATGCTGGCATTGCAGGAGGTGGCTTCACCTGCTACATCACAATGCTGGCCCCAGAAAAATGATTTTTCAAAGAGCACCAAAATGATGATCGATGAAAAAAAGCAAGTTGGTAAGTTAGACTTCATTAAAAGAAAATTCTGCTCTGCAAAAGATACCATTTAAACAATGAAAAGACAAGTCACAGATGGGGAGAACACATTTGCCAAGCAAATATCTAATGAAGGACTGGTATCCAAAATGCACGAGGTGGGGGCAGGCACTATGGCACAGAGGGCTAAGCCGCTGTTTGGGATGCCCACAGGCCTTAGGTTGGAGTCCTAACTGCTCCATGCTTCCAATTCAGCTGCCTGGGCCTGGGAGGCAGCAGATGAAGGCTCGAGTGCTTGGGCCCCGCCACTCACTTGGGAGACCTGGATGGAGCTTCTGGCTCCCGGCTTCAGCCTGGCCTCGCCCTGGTTGTTGTGGACATTTGGGGAGGAACCAGCCGATGGAAGACCTCTCTCTTTTTCTCTCTCTTTCTCTCTCTCTCTCTTTCTCTCTTTCTCTCTCTCTCTTCCTTTGCCTCTCTGTAACTCTGCCTTTCAAATAAATAAAATAAATCTTTTTTTAAAAAAAGAAAGCAAACTAGTCAACTACAAAATGAGCCCAAGACCTGGACACCTCACCAAAGATACACAGATGGCAAATAAATAAATGAAAAGGTGCCCCACATATCATAGGTCATCAGGGAAATGCAAATTAAAACAACAATGAGAAAGCTCTTCCTACCTATTGGAATGACCAAACCCCAGACCTCTGGGAACCCTCCAAGCCGGCAAGGATGTGGGACAACAGGGAGCTTCCATTCCCAAGTGCTGGGAGCAAACGGTGCAGCCGCTCTAGAATAGAGTGTGGTGATATCTTACAGACTAAAGATACCCTCACCCGAGACTTCTTGTTATCCACCCACACTAGGCTGTGCACCCCTGTGGTTAAGATGACTTGGTTCGTTCTTCCACAATGTGGAAGCAACCAAGATGCTCTTCAGCAGGTGAATGGATAAACCAACCCTGGCACGTCCAGACAACCGAGCGTTATTCAGCAAAGAGAAGACAGGAGCTACATAGCCATGGAGAGAAGAGTTTCTGTGGTGCAAAGGTAAATGCCCATCACAGAAGTAAAAGAAGGCAATCTAGAAAGGCCACATTCTGCAGGGGTCCAGCTCTGCGATTTTTTGTCTTGTTTTTGGCACAGGCGGAACTGTGGAAACAGGAAGAGATCCACGGTTGCCAGGGGTCAGTAGGCCGGGTGCTGCTAACTCTGAGTATGCTCTGTGTGACACCAGGGTCCAGGGTCAGTGCATCTTTGTCCCGACCACGGGAACCGTTAATGTCAAAGCTGGCCTTGGGCGACCGTGGGGGTCAGGGCAGGCTGACAGTGAGTAGTGAGCACACCTCACCCCCGTGAGATGATAGGGAAGGAGCAGAGGGAGCTGGGAGGGATTTCCTGAGAATGCCGTATTTCCCGCTTATTTTCCCATAAATCTAAACTCCTCTAAATAAATAGGCAAAAAGATAAACAGATGTCAATGTGTGTACAGACCTAAAGGATGTACACCCGTTATCTGTCTGAGTAGTGGATTTCCGGTGTTTATTTCTTCTCTTTTTCTATCTGTGTTTTCTATCTTCCTGCAAGAAACACACACACACACACACACACACACACACGCATAATACTAGTGGACAGGCGTTAGAGCAGCCTTCTTGGACTAAGTATTCACCCACACCAGGTGGTGCACCCCAATGTTTGTGATGGCTTAGTTCATACTTCCGGGAAGTACACAGAGACAGTTACCAGGAAGCATCGAGACTTTTAACAAAAGAAAGTAATTGAAGTTCTTATCTGGGAATGAGAAAATTTGGATGACACAAAAGGAGGAAGTGCCCTTCTGGAAGGGGACTGGAGCTTCCAGCCTAGCCCTAACTCACAGGAACGTGTTCTAAAACTTACCGAACACTTCAGAATTTCTCCAATGTACTTGGTACTTGTAGATGCACTTGCTCTCTCCTATGTACCCACTTGAGTGTTACTGGAAGACTCCTGTGGTGCCTCTTGTCCCAAAAGCTGACCCAAATGCACAAAGAAGCTGACTTGTACAAGACCACAGGGCACAGCTGATGTCTGGGCCACCTCCACTGGGACCCAATACTGCTGCTTCTGACATGGTACGACATGCAATTATTGAAATTTCCAAGGCCTCGAACAAGAAAACAGTGCGTAAACAAAATCTGAATTGAGTATTCGGGTATCAATTTTTTTTGAAAGTTGCAAGATGGCTCAGTTATTCAAATGAGGTTCATTTGCTTCTCAATTTTATATAATTTAGGGTCACTCCTTTTTTTCCCTGGATATGATTTTGGAGAAGGAAAGACAACTTAAGAAAATAACAAGCACTTGGGGGCCAGTACTGTGGCATAGCAGGTAAAGCCACTGCCTGCAGTGCCAGTATCCCATATGGGCACCAGTTCGAGTCCTGGCCGCTCCACTTCAGATCCAGCTCTCTGCTGTGGCCTGGTAAAGCAGTAGAAGATGGCCCAAGTCCTTGGGCCCCTGCACCCATGTGGGAGATCCAGAGAGGTTCCTGGCTCCTGACTTCGGATCAGCCCAGCTCTGGCTGTTGCAGCTATTTGGGGAGTAAACCAGAGGATGGAAAACCTCTTTCTCTCTCTCTCTGCCTCTCCTTCTCTCTCTATGTAAATCTGACTTTCAAATAAATAATCTTAAAAAAAAAGAAAATGACAAGCACCTGTTCTCTTGTTGAGCACATATTTAGCCATCTCAACATTCCTCTTTGGGGACAAAGCAATGGACAAGGAGAGGGGAGGTTTCTGGTTTCACAGAGCCAGAGTGATCACACAATTCATGTAGTGCTGAGTCAAAATTCTAATGCCATGGTAACGTAGTGCTGAGAGATTCTAACACAAGGATCAAAAGGTAGCTCCAGGTCAGTGTAGGATGAGGCAGACGTTTCTGAGACACCGAGGCGTGTCAAATCAGTAAGAGTTGGCAGGTGAAGAGTGGGCGTTGGCATTACAGCCTGGATGTGAACTCAAGAAAGTGCCAGTATAGGGTGTGATGGGCAGGTGCTGGGTTGCTTAGAGGAAGCAACTGCCACTGACTAGTGAGCCTGAGACAGGGATATATCTGAGCGAGAGACAAAAATACAAGGCAAGGCCCAAGCTGAGGAGTTAGGATGATTTCTCAGAGCTTTGGCCAGCCCTGAGGGTTCCCAGCTCAACTATAGCATTTCTCAGTCTCTTTAAAAAAAAAAAAAAGAGCTGAACTGTAGGAGGTCCACCTGAGTCTTTGGCTTTCCATCTTTATTTATGTCTCTTCCGAAGCTTTAGCAAAAATTAGTGGATTTTTTAAAGATTTATTTATTTATTTGAAAGTTACAGTTATACAGAGAGAGAAGGAGAGGCAGAGAGTGAGGTCTTTCATTTGCTGGTTCACTCCCCAATTGGCCACAATGTCCGGAGCTGTGCCGATCAGAAGCCAGGAGCCAAGAGCTTCCTCTGGGTCTCCCACGCAGGTGCAGGGGCCCAAGGACTTGGGCCATCTTCTACTGTTTTCCCAGGCCATGGCAGAGAGCTGGATTAGAAGTGGAGCAGCTGGGACTCGAACCGATGCCCATATGGGATGCCGGCACTGCAGGCGGCTGCTTTACGCACTACACCACAGCACTGGTCCCTAGTGGGTCTTTTTTAAAGATTTATTTATTTATTTTAAGAGTTACAGAGAAAGCATGTGGGTGTCAGGGATCTAAGCACTTGGGTCATCATCCGCTGCTTTTCCCTGGATTGGAAGTGGAGCTGCCCAGAATCCAGATGGCATTGCAGCCTGTGGCTTTTCCCGCTACACCACAACACCAATGCCAGCAAAAATTAGTTTTAAATGTGCGCTTCATTTTTGGTTATCTCCGGAACACTCCCCAGGGCCTGGAGAACACGCAGAGATAGAAAGGGAGAGAAAGTGGAGGCTGGTGTTGTGATACAGCGGGTTAAGCCACCACTTAAAATGCCAGTGTCCCATATCAGAGCACCTGCTCAAATCCCAGCTGCTCTGCTTCCAATCCAGCTACCTGCTAAAGTGCCTGGGAAAGCAGCAGATGGGCCAAGTTTGTGGATCCATGCCACCCCTGTGAGACAGCAGGATGGAGTGCCTGGCTTCAGCCTGGCCCAGCCCCAGCTGTTGCAACCATCTTGAGAGTAAAGCAGTTGAAAGATCTCTTCTCTCCCCCCCCTCCAACTCCCTTCCTCCCTCCCTTTCTTTGTCACTCTACCTCTTCAATAAAAATAAATAAATATTTTACAAAGAAAGGGTGAGGAGGTTTCCTTTGTTGCAATTTGCCCTCACCCACCACGTGGGGGCAGCACTTTGCCATATTCATTATTGGCTGGTGGGTGGTGTGGCCAGCACAGCAGATGCCGCCAAAGCTGCTAACCTGGAGGGGCTGGGGAGCCAGGGAGGCCTGGGCAAGAGGCCTCTTCCTGAACGTTCACAGCCTGTCCTGGGGCCCACGTTGTTACCCAGGCCCCCACCCCTACTCTGAGTCCATCCCAAGAGGGACCCCTCAAGATGGTGCCTTTAGGCTCTGGTCAGGTTGAGACTGGGGTCAGGCTCTTCCCTCCGGTCCTCCACCAACCCTGGAGCCCAGTAAAGCTGTCCTTGCAAAGACAGGCCTGCAACCACGCAGCCCCCACGAGCCCCACAGATCCAGTGGGCGCCCAATCCAGGCTCAGCCAGGGGCCCCACTGCACCACCGCTAAGGGAATCCAGACATCCACGCGGTCTCTTGGTTTCCATTTTACTGAGGCTGATGGAGCGATGCGCCATGCCCGGCTCACAGCTGGAATAGAAGTCAGGTGCAAATCTTGTCACGAGTCTAAAACTACCCACGGCAAAGATGGAAGCAACAAAAGCCTAAGCACAAAATATACACAATGCGCTGCTTGCCAAGGTCTGTGTTCTTTCTCTCCGCCACGCAGCCACAAAAAGCCCAGGGCGTTTATCCGAAGCATCTCCACCTACCCACCTGTCTCTACCAGGATCCGCCCTGTTCAGGGAGGCAACCAGCTTCAGGTGCAGCTTCCCACGGAGCCCTTGCTCGAAGAGCGTTCTTGGAAAATCAGGCAGGGAAGAGTTTGGCTGCTCAAGCAAGCCCAACTCCTGCATAGCCGCTGCTGTCTCAGAACCTTTTATTTTTGTTGAAAAGGACACATAGTTTTAGTTTTGATAAAACCGTGCGCTTTCGTTCTTATCTGGCTTTAATATTGATCTAAGTGCTATCCTAACGCTACACTAAGCATGATATTCCAGACACGGTGCTTTTCTAAGTTCTACAATTTCCATTCTTCACGCATTAAATGAAAGAAACGGAGAGGGAGAACAGTGAGGACTCTTGGGGTCCTTATAATGCTTGTTGCGTAACGTGGGTGTTGGCTCTGAGTGTGAGTGCACGACCGAAAGGTTCATGCACCTGCACATGTATGCGCATTTCTTTTACATTCACGTGGGTTTCTTTGGTACTGCAACAAAATGCTTAAAAATAAAATTGAAGCATGAAGTTTCTGCTTCTGGTCGTTTATCTTTGCCTACTAGGAGCTTCTGTCTTCTCATTTGTGATGAACGCTTTGCCTTTAGGAGCTTCTGTCTTCTCATTTGTGATGAATGCTTTGCCTTTAGCTCGGGCAGTGTGGTGGCGACAGCACTTCTAGTTCTCTCGCTGCAGATTCCTACATCTGGGTCACCGCCAGACTGCCTTCTGTTGCTGTTCTCTCGGCTCTGAATGTATTGAATAAGTTTGCATTGTCATCTGGCATTGTGATCTTAACGTTGTAAGGTCAGTTATACTCTAAAAAAAAGTGTTCTCTTTCCCTCTTTCTCTTTCTCTGTGTGTGTGTGTGTGTGTGTGCTGGTTTATTTCAGTTAGGGGAGTATCTCACTTGGGTTCAAAATGAAAACCCTCTTTCTCAGGTTAGAACAAATATAGACCCCTTGATCCCCAGCTGGGATGCTTGGAGCTTGCGCCACCCACCTGTGGCTCTGGATCAGTCAGAGCTTATCCACAGAACAAGATGCTCTCTGGATTCTACCTGATGGGTTCGCGCTTCCCAGGAGCTGTGGTCACTCTGAACTTGGACCTTTGCTCCCCAAGCCAGTAAAGAGGCAAACAATCCATCAGAGCCATGGCCTCCCAGAATGGCACGAGTCAGGGCCTGTCCCTCGAGTGGAATCCTGAAAGACAAGTGGGCAGTCTACACTGCGCCGAAATTCTTCCAAGCGCCGCCTCCCATCCAGAGTCTTGGGCTTCTTTCCAGAACTTTCTGTGGGGCCCTGCTGAGCATTCTGCAGAGACTTCTCAGTCCACCCCATGAAGGAAGTGCTTCATTTTGCCGAAGATGAAACCCAAGCTCAAAGCGGGCAAAGCATGACTTCAAGGTCAAGGTAGGAGCGGGAGCGGGTAGGTGTCAGGGCAGGAATCAGACCAACTCCAGCCAGAATCTGAAGCTCAAGTTCTTGTTCTACAGCCGTGAGAGCATCAGCAGTTGGCACAGTTGTCTTTGCTCAGAAATATTTTTTTTAAGATTTATTTACTTGAAAATTGGAGTTACAGAGGGGGGAGCAACAGAAAGAAAAAGAGAAAGAGAGAGATCATCAGATCTCCACCTGTTGGTCCACCCTCCAAGTAGCCACATGACCAGGCCCAAGCCTGGGTCTCCAACATGGGTTGGCTTTCCCAGGCCCGTTAGCAGGGAGCCGGATCAGAAGCAGAGCAGCTGGGACTGGAACTGGTGCCCATTTGGGATGCTGGTGTCACAGGCAGAGAAAGGCTTTATCCACTAAGCCAGGGTGCCTGCCCCTCAGCAGTAGTCTTTTTTTTTTTTTTTTAAGATTTGTTTAATTATTTCAAAGTCAGAATTACACACAGAGAGAAGGAGAGGCAGAGAGAGAGAGAGGTCTTCCATCCAATGGTTCACTCCTCAATTGGCCACAACAGCTGGAGCTGTGCCAATCTGAAGCCAGGAGCTGCTTCCAGGTCTCCCACACAGAAGCAGGGGCCCAAGGACTTGGGCCATCATCTACTGCTTTCCCAGGCAATAGCAGAGAGCTGGGTCGGAAGTGGAGCAGCCGGGACTGGAACCAGCACCCATATGGGATGCTGGCACTGCAGGTGGAGGCTTTACCCACTATGCCACAGCGTCGGCCCTCAGCAGTAGCCTTGAGAGGGTTTTTAGCATGAGCTGTGTCCATGGCCATCATAGGAGACAGCTGTGTAGGGATTATGCCTGGGGAGGGGCCATCAGAAGCCCTACCCCACAGGGAACACGAAGCTGTGACTTTTTTTCTCTTTTCCTTCCTTTCTTTCTTTTTTTAAAACCTTATTTTCCTTTAATTTGAAAAGAAAAAAGACAGGGACCGGCACTGTGGTGCAGCAGGTAAGGCCACCACCTGCAATGCAGTATCCCATATGGGCACCAATTCGAGTCCCGGCTGCTCCACTTCCGATCCAGCTCTCTGATGTGGCCTGGGAAAGCAGAAGATGGCCCAAGTGCTTGGGCCCTTGCACCCACGTGGGAGATTCAGAGGAAGCTTCCGGCTCATGGCTTCGTACTGGCCCAGCTCTGGCCATTGTGGCCATTTGGGGAGTGGGTTAGAGGATAGAAGACCTCTCCCTGTCTCTCCTTCTCTTTCTCTCTAACTCTGCCTTTCAGGTAAACAAATAAATCTTAAAAAAAAAAAAAAAAAGAATAGTGCAAAACAGACCTAAAAGAGACTCAGTGGTACAGCTGTCAGATTTAATAAATAAAAATACAGATGCCCAACAAGAAATAATGTGAAGGGTTAAGCATGCCCAGAGCAAGGTTAGAGGTTTGTTTATCTCAAGACATTACTGGCTGTT